TCCTCCCCCCCACCAAAAAAAAAATTAGATACCCAGGCACTAAAATAGGTCTGGGAGGGCTATAGCAACACAGTGGGTCAAGAAAAAAGGAGAGAGGTTGTGGGGGAGATCAGTTTAGCTGGGACATCCAAAGATGGCTAGGAACCAAGAAGGGTGGAGGCTATTGGTATCAACCATGCAGAGGATGCCACCATGGTCCCCAGTGGTTGGCTCTGTGGAGGATCCTAACAATCTTGTCACTCAGGACTGTAACACCCCGACAGCCACAAACTCCCGACAGCTTTCATGATGGGAGGCCCCAAAATGTTCATTGGCATGGACTTCAGCGATCTGATGCTTAGAGGATACCAGCAGCTTTCACCACTGAAGTAACCAAAAGCCGTCACTGTTGCAGACTCCCAGGAGAGGGAGATGCTGCTGTCCCTCGCCACACCCAAAAGAATTGCTGTTGCAGAGTCCCCAGAACCAGGGCTGCCACCACCCCCCTAACCGTGCACATTCCCCAGAACTCAGAACCATGGCTACTCTGCTATACCTGCACTTTAGACCTGGATATAGCTGCCATTCCATGTGTTCTTGTGACTTAGGCAATAGAGTCACTGCCACTGTAGGCTGACCAATGTCCTGGATCCTGGGAGCTGCTATCACTCTACAAGCACCTATACTCCAGACCCTGGCTTTGTGATTACTCTATGGGTGTCCATTCATCAGACACCCATGCCACCCTCACTGTAGTAGCCCTGCAAGCCAACCAGGCACCAAGAGGGATCCCTTCAGCCAAAACATCCTACATGGGAGAAAAAGAGATGGGGAGTCCCCAGCAGCCTTTGCTACCAAACAGCCCTCACTGCTACTGTGTACAGTCACAACCTTGGCCACTGAGGACCCCTACAATCTTATATCAGACAAAATAGACTTACTTTAAAAACTGTAAAGACACAAAGCACGTCATTATGTAATTACAAAGGGATTGATTCATTAAGAGTATGTAACAATTGTAAGTATATAGGTACTGAACATTGGCACCTATATTAAGCAAACATTAACAGATCTGAACAATATAATAATAGTTAGGGACTCCAATACCCAACTTTAAACAATGGATATATCATCCAGACAGAAAATCAGTAAGGAAATATTGAATATGAACTAAACTTTAGACCAAATGAACCTGACAGACATATACAAAATATTCTACCCAACAGCAACAGAATACCCCTTCTTTTCAAGCACACATGGAACATCTCCAGGATGGATCATAATTTAGGTCACAAAACAAGACTTAGCAAATTTAACAAGTATGAAATCATATCAAATATATTTTCTGACCACAGTGGTATAAAACTAGAGCTCAAAAATAGGAAGAAAGCTGGAAAATTTTTAAACATGGAAATTAAATAACATACTCCTGAGTAACCAGTGTGTCATGGAAGAAATCAAAAGGGAAATCAAAATACATCCTGAGAAAAAATGGAACAGAACATATGAACACTTATGGGATGCAGCAAAGACAGTTTTAAAAAGAAGTTTATAGAGATAAATACTTTAAGAAAAAAGAAAGATCTCAAATATGCAATCTAACTTTACGCCTGAAGAAAGTAGAAAGAGAACAAACTAAGCCCAAAGTTAGCAGAAAGATGGGAATAACAAAGATCAGGAAATAACAGAAATCACTGAAATAGAGACCAGAAAAGCAATGGAAAAGATCAATGAAACTGAGCTGTATTTTTGAAGATAAACAACATCAACAAACCTTTAGCTAGACTAAGAAAAAAGAAGACTCAAATAAAATCTGAGATAAAGGAGGAGACATTACAACTGCCACCACAGAAATACAAAGGGACTTAAGAGACTACTATGAACAAATATCAGCCAACAAATTGGAAGCCTAGAATAAAGGATAAAATCCTTCAGAATAAATTTAACCAAGGAGGTGAAAGACCTGTACACTGAAAACTTTAAGACATTGATGAAAAAAATTAAGACAAATCAATGGAAAGATATCTCATGTTCTTATTTGAAGAATTAATATTGTTAAAATGTCCACACTACCGAAAGCAATCTTCAGATTCAATGTAATCCCTATCAGAATTCCAGTGGCATTTCTAAAATCTATATGGAACCACAAAAGACATTGAATAGCCAATGCAATCTTGAGAAAAAAGAACAAAGCTGGACACATCACACTTGTTGATTTCAAACTATATTACAAAGCTATAGTGATCAAAAGATTATTTTGTCATCCAAACACATCAATGATCTGTTTGATCAAAAATGATCAATGAAACAAATTAATCATAGAAAATAGGTCAATGGAACAGAATAGTGAGCCCAGAAATAAACCCAATATATATGGTCAATTAATTTTTGACCAAGGAGGCAAGAATACAATGGGGAAAGAATAGTGTCTTCAATAAATCGTGTCAGGAAAACAATGTACACATGCAAAAGAAACCCCTATCTTACTCCATCATAAATATTAACTTGAAATGGATTAAGGACTTAAATGTAAGACCCGAAACTGCAATACTCCTAAAAAAGAATACTTCTTGACATTGGTCTTGGCAATTTTTTTTGCCAAGGAAATGATTAACAAAATAAAAAGGCAACCTATGGAATAGGAGAAAATACCCAATGTATAGCTAATAAGGGGATAATATCTAAAATATATAAGAAACTCACACAATTCAATAGCAAAAAAAGAAAAAAAAAAACAGTTAAAAACTGGGCAGAGGACCTTAATATTTCTCCAAAGAAGATACAGAGATGACCAATAGATACACGAAAGGTTCTCAACATCATCAGGGAATACAAAGCAAAACCACAGTGAAATATCACCTCACACCTGTTAGGAGGTCTGTCAAAAACTCTAGATAGCAAATGCCGGTGAGGGTGTGAAGAAAAGGTTAAATTGTACACTGCTGGTGGGAATGTAAACTGGTAGAGCCATTATGGAAAATAGTATAGAGGTTCCTCAAAAAATTAAATCTAGAACTACCACAATTTAGCTGTACTACTTCTGTGTATATATCCAAAGAAAATGAAGTCAGTATCTAAAAGAGATATCTGCACTGCCATATTTATTGCAGCATTATTCACAATAGCCAAAGTATGAAAACAACCTAAGTGTTCATGGACAGATGAATGGATAAAGAAAAGTGGTGTGTATATACAATATACACATTCAATCAATGATATTATTCCATTCAATCAATGATATTATTCGGCCTTAAAAATGGAGATCATGCCATTTGCGACAATGTACATGAATTCAGAGAACACTGTGATAAGTGCGATAAGCCAGAACAAGAAAGCCAGAGACTGCATCATATCACTTATATGTTGAATCTTAAAATAAAAAAAGTCAAACTCTTGGAAACAGGATAGAATCATAGTTGTCAGGGACTGGGAGTTCAGGGAAATGGGGAGATGTTGGTCAAAGAATAGAAGCCTTCAGTTATAAGATGAATAAGTTCTGAGACTAACATATAGCATGGTGACTATAGTTAACAATACTGTATTGTATTCTTGAATTTTGCCAAGAGAGTAGATCTTAAGTGGTCTCAACACACACAGGCACACAACTAAGTAACAAAGGTGAGTTGATGGATGTGTTAATTTGATTGTGATAATCATTTCACACCATACATGTATATTAAATCATCATGTTGTCCACTTTAAATATATACAATTTCATTTGTCAATTATACCTCAAAAAGCCACCCCACCAAAAAAAGACAAAAAAAAAAAAAAAAAAAAAAAAAAAAACACAAGGCTGACCAGTATTATTCAGAATAAAAAGTAGAATTCTTCCCGTAAGTTTTTCCATAAAATTTACATGACACTGATGATTGGTCAAATTAGATATTTTTTTAAGAAAGAATGGAAATAACCTTAAAAAGATAGAAAACAATTGGTAAATTGTCAACGCACCTTCCTGTATACACCAGCTTTTAAGCTGTGTCAACAGACCTTTTTTCTCCAGTAATGCTTTCCTATACCATCCTATTTATTTTTTTCCATTGTGCCTGTTTCTTATTCTTTTTTCAAATATGTTTCATTGAGGGTTCTTGAATAAACAGGGTCCTAAAATAAGGATGTGTGAGAAAAATAATTTGATGGGCAAAAATGACAACTATAGTAAAATATCTACTTAGGTATTAGTTTGGATAGTAATAAAATGCTTATAGGAAGATTTTTTTGCCGAAAAAAGAGCTGGTTCCTTTGCATTCTAGCCCAAAACAAAGCAAAACTTTATTAAATTTTTATTTTTTAATTTCCCATATCTCATGCTTTTCTAGGTTCTATGCATTTTTTAAACAGAGCTTGTCTGGTTTCTAGGATGTCCTAAGCAAAAATAGTGTCATTATGGGTTATGGAACAAGTATAGGAATAAATATATAGACTACACAGCAAGCACACCAAAAATTAACTTCATATTGGTTTGACAATCTGTGGTTGGTTTTGCCACAATATACTGATTTTATTGCATATCATTAGGTTCATAGCATCATGTAATTTGGCATGTAATTTGTATCAGAAGAGTTCCCTCTGAATCATTTTTTAAATACCAATATCTGTGTATTAATCACATAGCTTTATATGTAATCATATTAACAGTGATTACACTGACAGTGCAGAACTGTCTCAACCAACATGACTCCTAGGTTTGGAGACGAGTTTTAAATAGATTATGTTGTTGTCAATAGAAGGATCAGAAGTAATAAAAGAGCTAGTTGGTATTAATTATTCTCTTCTCTGTGGTCCCATAGTCCTTTATTAGTTCTTAATTTGGGTTTAATTCATTCTGCTTTGATTTTCTATAATTTCTGTAAAGCTCATCACCTCTATCAAATTGTGAATTTCTTTCGTAGTGTCCTGTCTCTGCATCTTTCACATCCCACGTCTATTAATAATGGTTCGTATACTGAATCACCACAACTTGAAAGAATAAAGATTTCCTTTTTTTTTTTAGAATATACCTTTTAAATTTCTTTCAGAAATTTGGTACAACTGTACAAAAGTGAAAACGACATAGAAATTTCAAAGAAGATTAAGACTCAGTGGACTTCTTTGGGCCTAGAAGACGTACAGTTTGTAAATTACTCTGTGCTGCTGAATCTGCCAGGCCCTTCTCCCAGCTCAGTGACTCTAAGCAGCAGTGGCCAGTGCTTTCATCCTAATGGCCAGCCTTGCAGCGAAGAAGCCAGACGACACAGCAGCCAAGATCCGCTCTACTCATATGCAGCCTATTCTGCCAGTGGAACTCTCAAGGTAATATGACAATTTGTCTCTGTCATTTACGGTGAAATGAAATTAGAAAACAACAGCTTTCATCTAAATTGAACTAACTGGCAAGAAGCAACATACCAAAATAACCATTAAATATTCTCAGTGTGGAGGTGCCAGGAAAGGGGAAGGAAGATTTGAATTGCCTGACCCTTTTCTTGTCATATTTTGAAAGTGAAAACATGTTAGAAGAATTTAATTTAAAAGTGTTGAGTGTGTGACTGAGTCATTCACAGTTTGCTTAATCCTTACAGTGTGAGTTCATTTCGTTCTTTGGTTCTGAAGAGGCAAATTTTAATAGATCAATGTGGACAGAAAGAATAGAAACGGAAGCAGTTGTGTTTTGAAATTGTGTATGCACACAAGAAATGAAGTGGAAAATTGATGTGATTATTCACACATTTAAGATTTGACATACAGTATGTCTGCTTTATGATGGAAAATATAAACAAGGGACCAGGTGTGAATTATTGCTTTAGTCTTTCTGGGTTAGCTGGTTTTCTGATGTGGTGGTTTTTTGGCATTGTGGTTAAGTGCACAGCTTCTAGAGCCACGTGGACTAGTTTCAAATCTCAGCTCCCCAATTACCACTGTTAATTAAGCATATAGGGCTGAGTTTTCTCATCTCTATAATGGGGATAATAATAGTTCCAGCTTCATAAGCTTGTTATGAGAATTAAATTAATTAATATATGTAAATCTTGGAGGATAGAGCTTAGCCTATGGTAAGGACAAGAGAGCAGTTAGATACCATAGCATTTAATTGGTCACTAGTTTCCTTTATATAGGCAACTTTTCCATCTCCATGTAAAAGTCTCATTTGAATAAACACATTCAGTTTTTTTTATAAAACTATTGATTTCTTCTATAGATTTTATATGAATGAAATGCTGTTTCTGATTGTTGATTATTGGCACAGATTTTTAAGAATCCAACTTATTATTAACTGATTAAGATGATTAATTTAAATCACTTAAAGTTACATTGCAGAAATACATGCTTGTCCCCAATTTAAAAAAAAATTTTTTCAGGTGTGGCATGAGGAGAAGCAGCTAACCACTGCTTTGGCATTGTTCTTGTTCTGTGTTGTAACATTCTCTGATATTTAGCAGAACCGCATATAACCAGCACCACCTTGAAAGCCTTTTTATTAATTAAAAGTTAACACAATATTAAATGTCTGTAATATTTCTAGTGTAGGACTCATGATTTGACTTGATGAATATACACTATGTCTGATAGGCAATAATGGAAAAGTACTTGCGTACTAATGGAGATAGAGGGAGGCCACCAGCATTCTTTCTTCGGTTCAGAAACTTTGGTCCCAAGTCAAGATTCTAAACTTACCTGACATATTTTAGACTCCCAACCCTACATAAGCCCCACACATTTCCAGGCTCCTCTTTATCCTGGTTGATTCAAGTACAGCACAGTCATCTCCTTCCTTAAACAAAAGCATGTCCAAAACACAGAACAAGAACGAAACCCCAGAAGCTTGAGTGGATCCTTGGAATCACCCCCATCTATTTTCTTTCCAGTTTCCTCTGGCAAACATCCATTATTCCTCGACTGAGGTGATATGGAAAAGCCGTGGAACTATAGCTTGTGTCTCAGTTGCCTTAGTGTGTACCTCTTTAATAATCGCCTGGGCACATTGGATTTTTTTTTTTATATTCCTATGTAACCATATCTCTGAGGGATTTTCACACATTTATCTTATCATTGATAAGTGTTTAAATTTTCTCTTTGTTTCATGTAAAAGAAAACCAAGGTCTACTATAGAATCATGGAAGTAGTTAAGTGTCTGTGAAGTCATAAGTCATGGAACTCTAGTATTATCTTGGTAGGAATGTAAATTGGTACAGCCACTATGGAAAACAGTATGGAGGTTCCTCAAAAAACTAAAAACAGAATTACCACATGGCTGAGCAATTCCACTTCTGGGTATATATTCGAAGAAAGCAAAAACACTAACTCAAAAAAATACACCCACCCCAATGTTCATAGCAGTGTAATTTTTTACACACACACAGATACACACAGGTGCCCACACACAATGGAATATTACTCAGCCATAAAAAATGAAATTTTGCCATTTGAAGCAACATGGATGGACCTGGAGGATATTATGCTTAATGAAATGTCAGCCAGAGAAAGGCAAATACTCTATTTTATCACTTATGTGTGGAATCTAAAAAATAAAGTGAATGAATATAACAAAATAAAAAGAGACTCACAGATATAGACAACAAACTAGTATTTACCAGTGAGGAGAGGGAAGGCAAGATAGGAGATTAAGAAATACAAATTACTATGTATAAAGTAAATAAGCTACAAAGGTATATTGTACAGCACAGGGAATATAGCCAATATTTTATAATAACTTTAAATGGAGTATAATCTATAAAAACATTGAATCACTATGTTGCATACCTGAAACCAATATAATATTATAAATCAACTATATTTGAATTTAAAAATACCATTTTTAATAAAGAAGTGCTGAAAAAGATTTTAAATAATATAGCTATTAAAAGGGAGAATTGTTAGCTATAGATGTAGAAGTGTATTCCATGTGTGAAATATTAGGCCTAGATAGAAGGGAATAATGTTAAAGGAACTAAAATGCAATTATAGATAAAACAAACACTTTGTATTTGAAGAACATAATTTAAGAAATTAACCGTGCAAATTAGATGACAACACTGGCAATAAGTATTTTTAGAATTATGTTAATAATTCAAATCTATTACACTAAGTACATAATAATTTAAAGATTTATATAAATAAAGGACATAATGTGATATTGACTTTTTAAACTTTTACTATATTAGTATAATTTTCAAAAGCAAAGCAATTTCTTGGTGACTATTTTATATGCATATAGAATACTTGCATATTTTTTATATACATGTTTTAGATAGGTGTATTACTGAAACTCGCATATTCTAATTAATAGGACACTGGTGAATTTTCTGTGTCCCTTCAGACTATTTCCCAATTCAAATCAAGCTTGAGAGGTTGCTGCTGATGACTCAGGCATGCTGACTTTTTGATTTTGAGTACATTATATTTGCATGAATTTCTATCAGGCAGCGCCATTAACAAGTTCTTAAATTATTCTAGTCTGACTGCCAGCAAAGCTCCCCACTACTTTTGCTTTTGACAAGGTTATTTGTAGAAGAGCCATGCCCTTTTACTTTGAAGAGCTGTCATGTCCATTCATCATATGACCGTTTTGTATAAGCTTCCAATTTTTGCTTTCTGCTAACAGTCTAAACAGCATTTGTGATATCTGAGATCTACTTCGAAAACCTACTTAGTGCCAGCATGATGGATGGTGTACTTTGCAACATTTTGTAATTCATTGTGCACTGGAAAGGTGACATTGTTTACCCCATCATAATGACAGGTGGGTCAGTAAAATGGTCCTAAGGAGAGTTTTCCTGTCAGATGCAAAATACATATTAAAATGGATACATAAATAATTTAGCATGAATGAGGTTAGCTTCAGGGAATAAACAGTGATTTATATTTTTATTAAAGGGAAATATCAACTATAATATCATCATAATGTTAAAGACATTGATAGTGCTGGCAATGTCTAGTCAGTTTTATAAATAGAATATATGGCTTTATGTAATTCCTGTGCAGTTATTTCTTTTGTCCTTTGTGAAACCGGTGCAGGTACAGAAGAGTAAAGGGAACAATTAGTATTTAATACAGGTTGGTCAGATTGGGTCTACCATGTTCTTAGTCTGAATAAGGGATTTGTTTTTATTCCAATACATTTTATAAATGTTGAAGTTTTCTTTCTGTTAAGCGTTATTTTGTATCGGGAAGACAAGCCAAATGATGCAGTTTTATGAAGAAACATTTTCAACAACTCATTAGCTGTGCATGAAATATTGTTTCCCACACACTTCTCAGTATCCCATTCCTCAGAAAGCATAGTTCAGGAGCCCAGACTAGCAACCTTCCTTACCAGTTGCACATCTGTGGATTGGTTGCTTCAATTCTCTAAGCCTCAAAAGTCCTTATCTGTATAAGGGGAATAGTAATAGTACCTCAAATGATTGTTGTGAGGAAGAACTGATAGAAACCATGTCAAGGGCCTGGAACTTAGAAGCACTCAATAAATGTTAGCTATTGTTATTAGTAGTTGGTATAAAGTAGATGCATTTAAATGGGAGAAATTAAGAAAATATCAGAACTATATATCATAAAATTTGGAGTACAAATGTTTACCACATTGTCTGAATACAGTCTTCCTGTCTTCTATTTAACGTGACAAATAATAATCATTAGGGAGGAAAATGCCTTAAGTATGAATACATAATAAAATAAATATAATTCCCTGACCGTATTTTTCATTTAAAACTGAAAGCTCAAATAAATGAAGTATTTTATTTTATTTTATCTTTTGCGGTACGCGGGCCTCTCACTTTTGTGGCCTCTCCCATTGCAGAGCACAGGCTCCGGACGTGCAGGCTCAGCAGCCACGGCTCAGGCCTAGACACTCCGCAGCATGTGGGATCCTCCCGGACCGGGGCACGAACCTGTGTCCCCTGCATCAGCAGGCGGACTCTCAACCACTGTGCCACCAGGGAGGCCCAGTATTTTATTTTTGAATGCAGAATGGCAAAGCATGTCAAGTTGGGCCTGAAGAGCATTGCTTGTCTTTGTTTTGTGAAATATCATGACATACTTTAACACATGAAATCTGAACACTGCATCAAATATTTTGTCAAAAAGTCTTAAAGAGAAAATAATCGCTGCATGGAATCCTTGGATAACTTGTAATCAGATGTCTATTTTCTCACGGCTAGGAAGACTTTGTCTTCCTCTTTTATTTTTAATATTCTCAAACAAAGGCAAACTTATCAGTGTTATGGCAGAAGGCAAATCTATATGTATTTAGCTCTGAATGCTTCCTGTTACAGATAAAAATATCGGAAAGCTAAAGGCATAGAATGAAATTGTAT